CCATACTACTGATGATGATATGTGGGGTTCAACGTCCCGAAGCCACCATATGATTATGAGAGACGCCGTAGTGGAGGGCTCCGAAAAGTTAGACCACCTGGGGATTATTTAAAGGTCACCTAAATCTAAGCACATGGGTCTACAGCATTTTGGCCTCAATCGGAAATGCAGCCGCCACAGCCGGGATTCGATCCCGCGACCTGCAGATCAGCAGCCGAATACCTTAGCAACTAGACCACCGCGGCGAGACCTACTCCTATACTACTACTACTGCTAATAATTACTACTACTACTGCTAATTAATAATGTTAATGACAATTATATCTGGTATTTCACGTGCCGAATCCACGATGAGGCCCGCCGTTGTGGAAGACTCGGAAAATTATGTCCCCCTGGTGAACTGACACTGCAGAGTACACGGGCCTCAATAATTTCCCCTCCATCGAAACACGAACCGCCGAGAGCGGGATTGAAGCCGCTGCAATGAATGAGGAAAGGGGTTGTGGGCACTGGCACTGAATGGACAACGCCGCACGTGGAATATAATGAAATTGAATGGAATAACTTTATTTAAGATTTACGGGCTGTGTACTATCGTGTACCTGTCAGCTCCCTCGTGGGGAGAGATCGCGACTGGCCGCTCTGCCCTTTCGCTTGCACTTCGGACTGCCCATAATTATTTTTTCAATATCCTCGCTGTGTAGGAGTGCATCTAATTCGGACGACGTAACGTCTTCGTTACCCTAAAACACGGGGCGCCACCAGAAGATGTGCCCTAACATGACAGGGTCTAAGCAAAGCGCGCCGTGCAACAGTGGGTGGCTAGGATATGCCTCGACCTGCAAGAGCCTGAGCGTCAAAACACCCGATGCCTGTATACGGTGCACCAGCGCGCGGTAAGGTTTCTCGGTGAGTTCACGCTGACAGGGTGGTTGTCCATCGGGCCTAGGACAGTTGGAAGGGCTCATCTTCGAACCAAACAGTTGACGCAGTACGTAGTTCTTAACAGCGGTAATGAGGACGAGCCACGCGACCCCAGGAGGCAACATTTTCTTTTGGCCTGAGGGCTATTCCAACACGTAAGCTGACGTCGCTTTTTCGAAGAACCACATATATATACCGCAAATGACTCGGTGATCATTAGCTGACCGGTGGTCTTGTGCCACAAACACTCGGCTGTAACGGCTCAGGTAGGTAGTAGGCGCCAGGCCTTACTATCTATGTGCGGTTGCGGTGGTGTTGGTACGTCCATTTTTGTGGTAAGAATGGTGCACTGGGCGAGTCGGGACTTTTCCCTTCTGGTCAGGGTACTGAACGTGTATTCGGTGGCTTTAAGCCGTGGTTTCATTGCTGCCTACAAAAAAAAAAAAAACCCACTGGCCTTCGTTGTCCTAGTTTCTGGTATGGCTGTTGTTTCCGTTTTTACTTGGGCTCCAACTTGGGTAATGGGTTTTGCTGTGTATGAATGGTAGGTTCTCGAACTGCAAACTGATGTGCCACCTTGAATTACTCGCTGAGTCATGATTTTCACGTGCCATATTTTGCAAGTGGAAGGGTAACAAAACTGCAGTATTTAGTTCAAGCAAGATGAAAAAAAAAACACGTACACACACAAAACAAAAACTAACAACAACAAGAACAACAACAAAAACATGACATATTCACGAAGTGAATGAAGATGATTGGGCGAAGCAGTGTTACCATCGTTGACACTTGCGACGCGCTGCTTTAACACAAAGAAGAACACATGAAAACCACAGGTAGAGTAAAGCGCTATCGTGAACAGCGGCGTATTTGATGGAAACCTGACATATACACAGCGGGAAAGAAATGAAGCGTGAGCCTGGTTTTCGTGTGTTTTTTTTCGTGTTGAAACAGTGCGTCGCGAGTGTCAACTTCCTACAACCAACATAGCCCCTACCCTGGCCCTTCTAAGTGTTACCGTAAAGCACCTGTGGCATTCATCACTCACACATGACAATGAGTGACGAAGCGGTGCACAGTTATTTACAATGCTTATTGATCATAACTGATATGTTGTGTTGAGTGGTCCCTTTCCTTTTTCCTGCATTCTTACTGCTTTGCGGTGTCGGATTTAGCCTGATTTTGGCAAATACGAGGTCTATATGCACGTTTTCTTGGTTATTGGTTGATTCCACTCATACCAATTGCATCGTAGAGCACATTGAGACGTCATCGGCTGCACAATCCCGTCGTTGTCCGTGATAATCATCGTCATCATCTTCATTGCCATCAGGGTCATCGTCATGGTCATGACGTGTAGTGGGTGCCTTGCATGATCTGTGCCGTGATGGCAGAAAGACAATGTGTGGTCTCTGGAACGCGCTTGGTCTCCATCGTCATCAGCATCATCGTCATCGTTAGCGGAGGCTTGACGCAAACGCGAACGCCAATGCTAACGCCACCGGAGAAGCCTCGGGCATGCGGAGCATCACCCCTAAAAGTTTCATGGTCGAAGCTCCTTATGCAGTGGGTCGTGCGTTCGCGATGTATGTAGTAGCAGGGCGTCGTCGTCGTCGTCGTCGTAGTAGTAGTAGTAGTAGTCGCAGTAGTAGAATGTAGCGACCTCAAAATTTGTTTTTGGAATGTCTGCTGGATGGCGGTACTTCAATATGATGAATATATGATAAAAAGATGCGAGATAGTGGTATATACTTGGCGTGTTCATAATATGGACTGATAGAGGGACGGACAAGCAGACGGATGGATGGACGGATGCACAAATTAATGGATGGGCGCACGTATGGACGCACGGACGGACGGAAGCAAGAACGAACGGAAGGAAGCGCGGACGAACTGACGGACGCTTCGCCCCACTCATCATCATTCAGTCCGTGGATGTGCTGCGATTTTTTTCTTGATCGTTGCGTCATAGGAATCGGGAACATAAAAGTGAACCATGCCGTCACATTAGCAGTTGATTGTTTCTGTATACTGATTGAAAGTGTGCTAATAGGGAAATTTAGAACCGAATTTAACCAAATAGAGATCATAACGAGTTGAACACAAATACATATTAAATACTATTCGAATAGTTATCGTATCGTAGGGCTATTATCTAAAAAACTGGTCTAGAATCATACTTGTGACGCAGGAGACGTGATGGCTATACGATGAACCATTTATTTGTCTTCGTCTTCCTCCCTTCTCTACTATTCCACCACACTGTTGTCGTGTGGTTCATCACACGCTTTTTATTTCAAGCAAATGTTAGCCGACATTAACATAGTAACATTACCGTTACATTTACGACCAAATGTTGCCACAAGTGTGTGAAATGAGGAGAGCTCGCTAAGAGTGGTGCCTTCAGGGTACGCACGTGGCTGCTGCCATTGCCGCCGCACTCGCAGCTCAAGAAAAATTAAACGAAATGCGGAGACCACGACTGTTGAAAGGTCACGTAATTCTCGTTTTGCTGTCCGAGTCCTCCAGCACTGCTACTGGGCCTAATCCACGTTTCAGATGAGAGCACTACAAACTGCACCTGGCTGCTCTCGGCGACGCAAAAGCGTTCTCACTGTACCACTGGATGGCAGTGCTCCTGCTCCTGTGCGACCACTCGAACACGTCAGCTCTGAAGAGAGCACTTTCAGGGGGCTTATGAGCTCTCCTGTTCTCCCAGTTAAATTCGTCGTTAAGAAGTTAAAAGAAAAGAGCGACCGCCGATAACGATGCTCTCTAATAAAGCATTAGAGCTATGCAAGATGGGATCGTCGGCAGAGCTGAGCCGTTCGTTCAACTCAGTAAAGTTACCCCAGAAATTATCTAGGATAATTCGAGGTTTACTATATCTCTGTCAATGTTTGAAGTCGGGGCAAGAGTATTGCGGACACAGGTGTCGATGTCGGTGCCGGCGTGGGTGTCATTGGTTGTGATCGAGAAATCACCATCTTGTCCGCAACCGGAAAACGACGAACAACTCACATAAAATAAATAAAATTTCTCTATTCCAGTGAGATTCGAAGCCAGGCCGTCTGCTTTGCATGAAGGTGTTCTACCACAAAGTCGTGAGGTTTTTTCTATCGTTCATGGTATTTATTGAACTTAGAAATGGCAGTATAATGCAACAGAGTGTAACTGAAATGTTCCTCCTTCTATTGCGACACAGTGACGAGCATGCAACGTTTAAAAAATCACCATCTCTAGAACGAATACACCAAGTAACAGTTTTTCCTCAATGTTGTCTATACCAGTAAGGATACCTCACCAACGCAATTACACCCTTCTAGCTGAAACTCAATTTCCTCGTATCCATCGCCTAATGAAGCTACCATTAGAATAAAGCGGGCTGTTGAAGAAACTTGAAAAAATAATAATAAACGCTATGAGAATGTCATGTAGTGGACGTAGTCTCATTGACGCATCGTATATTCCGCGGCAGAAGCGTATAGAATCGCGCCAGGCATCAAAAGACGTGAATTGAACAAAGTGCTTCAAAGGGCCTTTAGCAAATGGTTTAAAGGTCCACCCATTACAAAGCATCCCAACGTACTTAATCAGCAGCAGCAGAACCATCAACAAAATGAACGGCTCAGTATAGTTGGCGTGTTGCCCTGTAGTGGGGCTCTTCGACGATTCGCAATAGTAACTATAAGGCGAAGTGGGCAAATAAAAACAGGGCTTGCAATAGGCATTCGATGATAACAAAAACGGCCGATTTTACGCGCACGGAATGGTTAAGGCATGCGCCGGGAACGAAAGCAGGACAGCGGTTCCCAAGGCAATGCACACGCGGCCTGATTACACTATCGCGACCTACTCTTGTAAATGAAGCCCAAGCGTACATCAGATTTTTTTGAAGCTATGGTCGGATATTCACTGGTGAAGAATACATTTTAGTTATTTTCCGTACTCAATATTGTTTGCTTTACAGCGGGCATCGCGACTGTTCTTACTGAGTATGGGTGGACGCTGTATGTGCGCGTAGTAAACTTGAGAGACATCGATTCGCAGATTTATCGCCATTTTCTTAACGGGAGTCACGACATCGGCGACATGGGCGGCTGGTAGGAGAGGCTGGCGCAGGCGAACAGCGCCACCGACATGGTCTTCAGCAGCACCAGCAGGGTGGCCATGTTGCGGCTGAGCGCTGCGTTGTTGTAGATGGCACAGTTGCCGGACTCGTTGGCCTCGCCGTTGAACACGGAAGACCAGATCTCGCATGCCATGTCCACCGTCTTTCCGAAAATGAGCGGCGCCGGGATGGTGCCTGCGGTTGGCGGAAAGAGATGATCTCACAATTTATTTATTTATTTATTTATTTATACTGTTAGCCAAAAGACCGATACAGGGTAGAGTACTGAAATACAGTTCACACATTGTTCACAGACACAAGCACTACACAGTGAAATCAGGACAGACATTGCATCTGGCAGGTTTAAACAAAACTACACCATACAGGCCATAGAAATCATAATGCAAACGAAAACCAAATCTAACTAAAAGTACAACGTGGAAAAGTATTCAAGTTTTGGACAGTATATTAACCAACATTGAGCGGAGAGTAACACGATCGCATACACAATACACTCAATATGTACACTGTTCCATATGCTTCAAACTATAATGATCAAAATCAGGAACTTTTTTATCACTACGTATAACTATTTCAACTCGTGTGAAGGCATACAAGCCGCTTATAACTGGGGGAAAAAAGGAAGGTAATAACGCTTATATATAGTTACGTAGAAGAATAGTAGACCAGTAACATTTTTTCAAATTCTTCTGAACAGTTAGTTTTAATTGTACTGTGTGGTAGCACGCTCCACCTTTCAAACGTGGCGATTGAACGAAGCTTTACTTGAGTTCAATGGAGCTTTATTTGAGCGCAAATGAAGAAAGCCTATAGGAAAAAAAAAAGCTAGCGTGAAATGGAAATAACTATGTTGCAGCTGGTTTACCACCAGCTGCAAAAAAGGCGAGGCGCTCAAAGGAGATTTCAGCTTATTTTTACGTCATGCTGGTGCGTTTATTGCGAATTTATGCTTATTGAGGATGTCGTGTAGAATGCGATATCATTTGGCTGTGATTTGTTCTTTGAACTACAGTGGCTACGATTTGATTTAATGTGTACATGATGTCGTGAAACTTCTCTGGCGCAACACTGCGCTGTTCAGGAAATGTCTTCAGTTTTTTGAAGCACATCAGTGGGACTACGCCAAATATCCAGTTTTTTTTTTTTTGGCACAGACACGTGCGTTTTTCGTCACAACCAGTACTGCATTGTGGGCCTCAGTTGGTAGCTGTTGCAAAGGCCGTGATTGTTGTTGTTGCTAAGGCCATGGCACCCGTTGCTAAGGTGAAGACTCCGGCTTGCCTCAAAAATATACATGGGTTGCCATTTGGATTCGACGTTGTGTGACGTGGTGATGAATCACGTAAACTAATATTGCGGCCTCGGTGATTAGGTCATGGAGCTGATGATAAAGCTGATGGATTAGGTCATGAAGCTGTTGGTGGAGCTGATGAAGGTCGCACTAAACTGTACTGCAAAACATGAGGGCAGTGTTAGGTGAATTCCGTTTTCTTTGGTTTGTCATTCTTCTTATTGGTCAGATACTGCTCAAGTATATATTGCGCGGTTCCATCAAATAAATCACGTTGTAAGTCAGTGCCGCTGTCTGTCTCCTTTTTTTTCTTGTCCCTCGTTATTGGCGCTATTTTTATGTGATGAATAGAGGCGTGCTTGTTTAAGCGATCGCTACGGATGCAGGAAACATGGGATGGTTGCCACGTATGTTCGTAGAACAAATACGTCGTACACACCAAATTTAGTTCAACAGAAGTTAGCGTTGGGGTGAAAGTCGTTGCCGTAGAGGAGTGCTAAAATTTAGCACAACCGGATGGATAATGGAAGGAACGATTGCAGAAGTGGTATTTTACGGTATAATGAAGTGGCAAAATAGTATGGTTTGATCACTATACCTATTATTGTTAAATTTGGGTAGAAAAAAAACAATAAAGATGATACCTATATGTCTGACCAAGCAGTAGGTCTATACTCACGATAAGTGAGTCGCTTCAAACAATGCAAGTCATTGTAAAGAACACTGATAACTTGACGAAATGCTATGCAAATAACAGTGAAATAATTTGAACGTGCTCTCAGTATAATTGAAACATCTGATGAAAAGTTGAATTCTGGAAGATCTCTGTAGCATTGAAGATTGAAGAAATTGCAGACTGGGAAATCCTGTACGCTCTTCTTGATCCATTGCAGCTTAAGATCCTGCCGAACATCTGGATGAATTACTCGATTCCTTTGTAGACATATCGCCTTGGCTGGCGTCATCTTTCACGAATGCACATTTGTCCGAAAACGCCTCTCAGAAACCATTTCCAGGTGCTGTGTGCATGCGCCTTAGCGAGCTTTTTGGCGCTTAATTGAATACGTAAAAACACTGATTGAAATAAAAAAGCAAAAAACGGGACCACGTACCCAACAACCGGATGCAGACCCACTGTACTCCTAATGCGAATGACTTCTGCTTTTCTGTGACACACCTGCAACGAAACACTTCGCATCAATGTGGCTCCATTATGGAAAGGCGATCAAGGAACCTAGCTGTTCAGTACAAGCCAAGTTCCTCGACGACCTCTTCGAAACTAACCCGAAGAGCATTTCACACTACTCAGCACGTTTGAAAAGCAGAACAACCGATCATGCTATCGCAGGCACATCTTCGATCACAATGCGCGGCAAGACCAACACTAACTGAACTCAGCCAACTTTCTACGCTGCATATCGTATGCAGAAAATTTCGGAAAAGCAAAAAGCAGTGTGCGTGGCGAAGTTTTTTTTTTTCAGGGGTCAAGCTCGTTATGGCGTGGCTTGTGCGTCCCCCGTTGTCATCGTGCGTAACCGCCGTGGCACATACCTGAGAGAGCGGGTATGTGCCACAGGGGAGGGACGGGTATGTGCAACAGGGGAAGGAGATAGACAGGGGAAGGAGGAGATAGAAGGAGGGGAACTAGATGGACGGACGGGCGCATGGACGGACAGACAGACAAGCAGACGGACGGATGGACAGACGCGCGAACGCAGGGACAGACGCAGGGACGGACGAATGGATGGATGCGCAGACGGATGGACGGAAGCGCATATGGACTGACAGACGCGTCGCCCCACTCATCATCATTAACTCCGTCGATATTCTGCGATTTTTTTCACTCACGCCTTCACTCTACGTTTCTATTCATATTACGGTGTTTGATGCTTATTATAACTTTCTCGTGTCCTCTATAACGCGGCCATTTTACCAGTCTTCCGATATCACGTTCTGGAAGACAGCTGCGTCAGTACGCCTTGCCATAGCCCTTGTAGATGAAGAGTTAGCTTTTCTATTAGAGGTTAGATAATCATGGTTCCCTGATGTTAAAAGCTGCTTTACTATTGTGTATCCGTCAGGCTTTGCCCATTTTTTGTTGTACATTTTCTTTTGTCGATTCGTGCTGTATATTGAACATGGCTTATGAGCAATAGAACCTAGCTCCTGTGCTCCCCTGTCCGTCCTTATGAAGCGAACGCTATTTTCGCGTCGATATCACGCTATCCAAGAGCGGCAATCATGTGCTTTTCTAGTTCGTCAAAATGACGTATAAGGCAGACGCTTGGAACAGTTCGACAGTGTGACGTCAGACAAATGGGTCGTTGGGTCTCGTTGCTGAAACATCTTCGAGGTTACGCAGGGCCCTGCCTACAATAGGGATAAAACAAGAAGACACAATCACGTTTGTTCGCGTCGCCCTCTTTGGTTGTAGGCGTACGTGTGCAACACTGTGCCCTCCTGAAGGTGACATCATCATACTTGAGACAGAGAGCAAAGGACGAACGAGTAAGTGCGATCGCACTGAGCGCCACAATCTACGGCTGATATTGACAATCCTTTTCTCCATGACCATGCAAACACCCAGTCGTTCTATCCCCGCGTTCTTTTGTGCTCTCCGCCACTTCTTCTGTTCGTCAGGTGCACCGAGGGGGAACCGGCCCTGGTACAATGAGGAGTGGGGTTCCGTCCCACACCGGTGACGGAAACTTGGAGCATCGGTCTACGTCACCGTCACCCGTTTTTTCTCGCCTGACAAAAACCGGTGACTTCATGGTGACGGGACGAGTCGTTTGACGGCTGTGAGAACGAGCCCCCAGTCGGACGACGTCGCAGCTAACCATCTGGCATTCGATTCACCAAACGGCAAGTCCTTACATTTAGGTTTACCGACCTGATGGTGACGCTGATGCCGGGTGCGCTGATGAAAACGTGCTGAAAGGCAGAAAAAAGTGGCCGCCATGTAGAAGAAGTACGCGGAGCACTCCTGCGTGCAGCGTATGCGCTCGGCCTCCACAACGTCGTCGGTGCTGTTTCCCTCCAAGGTGATGCAGTCGCAATTGGTGTACAACTGCACGCGAGGGTCAAGATTTTTTTTAATTTTCCACGACTCTAACCAGGAACGTAAGCAACAAGTGCTCTTAAAAAGGAGGACAAAGGAGGGCTTAGACATGACATGAGCTCCGAATGTCGTGTTGTTGCTCATTTAATGTTATGTCGATTAGTAGAAACATCAAAGCACGGGCCATTAGTACACACTGATAGTCGTACTGTCGTCTCACTTGTGCCGTGTCAGCGCTTGGGTAGCATCCGAGTGTTACATTAATCCCATTTCAGGTGTGTTGTGGGCTTATACTCACAATGAATCATTTATAAGTTGCCCAATTGCCAGTACTATTCACTAGAATAGAGAGAGCGCTAACGCTGAACGTGTTATCATTTTGTGATTGTAATATTATACAGCATCGCTGTGCTTGTACTGCCCTTAACAGCAATCGTCTGACACGGACTACAACGAGATAATGCTTTATGATACGACTGCAATGGGGCACCCTCCTCTCATAAAAAAGTTGCTGTTAACTGCTCTGGAATACTGCGGCTGAATTAGGGGTGGTAAACAGAAAAAAAAAGAATTGAATGCAGATGCTATTATG